CCCCCCCCCCGTTGATCCCGGCCAGCCTCCACTTTTATTGCCCCGTTCGAGCTTCGTGACATTGATTGTTGAGACCATCGGCGCCTCACCGTACAGCTTCCATTCAACATCCCCTTGCGATCATTGTTACCCTTAGACAAGACAGTTGGAGCGATGGTCATTCGAACATCCCGCCGATGAGCTCCATGATCGAGACCAGTAATGACTGGGCACGAGAGGATGAGCTCGACTTGGGCCAGGAAGACGATGAACGCTCCCCGCCCGCCCACAACGGCGTCTCCGATCATGCCAACGCTCAGCAACCACCAGAACATGGCTCAATGGCTTACTTCGAGGAGGATCTCCCCGGTGTAGCCGGCGAAAACCATGTTTCGGGAAAACCAAGCCCTCCTGTTGACGCCGATACCACCGACCTGCCATCCTCGCCGCAGTCCGGGCAGCCCGGCGCTCCCGGTAGCGTGGATGAGACCCTCTCGACGCCAGATGATACCCCTTCTTTGCATGTTGGTCGCGACCATGTTTGTCCCGCTCTGACTCCCCGCTGATGAGAATAGGGCTCTGTTCTATCGTCGCGAAGCAGCAGCGCGTTAGCCTTCCGCGGCTCTCCTCACCTCAGCCCCAGTCCTTCCCATCGCCCTTTCGATCGTCGTTTCCAGTCAAGACTCTCCTCTGCATCGCCCGTCAGTTTCCGACCGTCATCCCCGTTTCTAGCCCAGATTCACTCCCGAAAATCTTCCCTCACTAGCCATCTATCGCCCGGGACCGTGGACTCGGGCGCGGACACGCCTCTGGGCCCGTGGGATGTTGTGCAATGGACTAGATTGAGGAAGCTCAATGGGCAGGCATTCTCGGAAGTTGGTAAACGGAACTTTGGACATCCCACCTGCATGGTCGTTTCGACGTCCATCGTGGTTGGTACGTCCAAGGGCATCATCCTGGTATTTGACTATCAGCAGAACCTGAAGACCATCATTGGACTTGGGACAAAGGGTACGTCTGATACTGAGCTCGTCTTAGGTCCCTGCTGCTGACTTGGGCACAATGTAGCAATTGAATGTGGTGCGATCACGTCGTTAGCGCTGTCAGCAGACCACTCGACGGTTGCTGGAGGCCACACTTCGGGCGACATATTCACCTGGGAGATCTCGCGGTCAGCACGGCCTTTCCTCCATATTCCCCCCATACCTGCTAGTCAGATCGAGACTCGAACATCGGACGGCCATATCGCGGGTGCGCCGGTCATCCATGTGGGCTTTCTGGGAACGCGACGGACGGCACTCGTATCTGCAGATAAGCGAGGAATGGCCTTCTCACACCTGGCTACTCGAGGAATGGGCGCAATGGGACGGACGGTAAAGACTACTCGGATTCTGGGTCGCTATCCTCAGGTTTTCGCGGAAGGCAGCCGACCGCGAAAGCCCAGCTCGGTCCTGGCATTCTCGCCGCTCCCGCTCGGCAATGTCGAGCAATCCACCGACTCGCTAGGTTTGGTCGCCATGCTTACACCGTATCTCCTCGTCATTGTTTCGACGACGCCTGTCGCACAGACACAACACAAGTCGCCCCGTCCGAAAGAAGTTACAGCTCACGGCGCTATGACTGGGGCCCTTGCCTGGTTCCCCGCCATCCGGCTCAAGGGCAAAGATTCGGAGATTTCCAAGACGAAGCTTGTATATTGTTGGTCCAATGTGCTGACGGTTATGGACGTCTCGGAGGTGGAAACCGACGAGTCGCCGAGCCGTGATCGCCCTCCAAGCCTATCCTTCAGACCCAGGAGCCGATGGAAGGCCGACGAGGCGATTGTTGCCGTGCAATGGCTGAGCCGCTCAGTGCTGGCAGTGCTCACTATCACACAGCAGTTGCTCATACTGGAGGACCACACCATGCGTGTTACGGAGGCCGTTGACCTCCTCAACCGGCACATCTACCACGTGGATTTGTTCTCCGCGCAGCTACATAACTTGGTCGAGCAGTTCAATGAAGAGGATACATCGATGCATGGAGTGGTGGCAGACGCCTTCTATATGAGCTTCCGCTCTTACAAGGGGCGCCTGTTTCTCTTGGGCTTCAACGAGATGCTGATCGGAAGTCTGTCGAACTGGGCGGATCGGTTGTTGGCCCTCATGGAAGCTGGTGAATTTATCGGTGCGATCCAGCTGGCGACATCGTACTATCAAGGTAGCGCCGAGAAGCTGACCATTGGATTACCGGAGGAGGATGCACTGAGGCAGCCGTTGGTTCGAGAGAAACTCCTGGAAATGATCTCGGCTTCGCTGAAGTATGCCTTTGGGCGGAATACAGAAGCTAATAGCGGAAGACTGGGGAATGGACAGCTTGAGAAACTAGCCGAGGTCTCCATCGCGGCATGCGTCTGTATGTCCGAGGAGGACTTTCTTTGGGACGAGGTGTTTACCTGGTACGAGGAGAGTGGCTCACCGGGGATATTTCTGGATGCGCTCGAACCGTATATCGTGGAGGGAACCGTCCGCTCTCTTCCTCCGACTGCCGTGAAGGCACTGATTAACCACTTCGCGACGAACCACAGCGTTAGCCGACTGGAAGAGATCATCTGTCTGCTGGATACCGCCACGATGGATATTGACCAGACCACTTCGCTGTGTAAGCATCATAATCTATACGACGCGTTTATCTACGTCTGGAACCGCTGCCTGGGAGACTACGTGGGCCCGTTGCAGGAGCTCTTGCAGCTCATTCCGACACCGGAGGCGCTCGTTAATGGGGAGTCAGTGGATGGGCTCAAGCGGTATACTAATGCGATGAAGATGTTCCCTTATCTTTCCTTCGTTCTTACTGGGCGTATCTATCCTACCGGGGCAGACATGGATGACGCCGAGGCGACCCGAGCCAAAGCAACCCTGTACGATTACTTGTTCTCTGGCAATCAGTCTGGCACCAAAGCAGGGGCTCGAGCTCAACCAGGCGGGTCGTTTCCCGAGCTCCAGGCCATGCTGCGATTCGACACATCCAGTTTCATGAGTATGATGAACGAGGCCTTCGAGGACAGCTTTTTGAATGACCAAGAACCCGATGAGACTCATGTCCGGGGAGTGTCCATTAACCGCCAATATCTTATCAGCATTCTGTTACAGGTTATGACCCAGTCCTTCGATGCATCTGATACCATCTATTTAGACATGTTCCTTGCCCGCAACCTTCCTAAATATCCACAATACATTCTCCTCCCGGGCAGCACTCTTCACCAGGTCTTGGAACGGCTGTGCCGATATCCGAGCCTGGATATGGCCGACGATTGCGAATTGAGCGCCGAGTACCTGTTGTCCTTCTACCATCCTCCCAACGTCCAGGGCATGATCCCGCTCTACAAGGAAGCACGCTTTTTCCGGATTCTGAAAGCTACCTACCGCTCTGAGAAGCAGTACCCGGAGCTAGTGCGCACATACCTTGAAGATCCGAACGAGCAGGAGGCCATCTTTACTTGTCTCCATGACTGCCTTCGTCCTGGCTCAGGACTAGGTAAGAAGCAGCGACGTGATGTTGTCGACGTGGTCAAAGAGCATGCTGGCCAGCTGGTCGCCATCGATGTGGAGAAGACCGCCCAGACGATGCATGGGCTCGCACCGGAACTCCACGGGACCTTCCTTCAAATCCTCAAAGACGATACTGGTCGGCAGTACCAGTACTTGGGCGTTGTGGTGCGCATGTCTCTGCAGTCTGTGGCGGAGGGACGACAGGGCAAGCCCGTTGAGAACTGGATGGTTGAGCGATATGTGCAGCTGCTCTGCAAGTATAACCCGTCTCGCGTTGCCGACTTTGTAGATGATCTACGGGTCGGAGACGTCCGGCTGGAGGAACTGCTGCCATCCATGGAGGAGAGTGGGGTGGTGGATGCGGCCGTGATATTGCTGGCTCGACAAGGTCAAGTGCGGGCCGCGATGGATCGTCTCATCACACACCTGGGGACTCTCGAGTCAGGGCTGGTAGGCATTCTACAGAACCTGCACGATAGCCCCGACTCGGCCAGTACGACGGAGGCGATCGACCATCTCGTTGAGTCCCTTGACAAGTTTACGCGAGTGGGAACCTGGCTTTGTCAGGGGCAAAGCAAGACGGCGAAGAATTCACGTGCGGTGGAACGGAATGGCACGGGTAAGGGTAATCTGGAGCAACCTCTCTCCTTCGACGAAAGCCTTTGGCTCGATCTTATCGAGGCCGTCGTGCGGACGGCCAGCAGCGTGTTTGGCTTGGTGCAGCAAGAGCGTGCAGCCCCAGTGACTCCGGCACCCAGCCACTTAATGTCGGCGTTTCGCGCCCTGGTGCAGCAGGTGTTCACGTCGCTGCTGTCCAGTACGGTGCGGGTTGGCGGATCGTCAAGCAGCGAGCGGAGCGACGTGAGCTTTCTCCGCATTCTGCGGGCGTTCCTCACGCGGGCGGCCAGCTGGTCGCCCTCCCTGTTGGAACTGCGGGCGGTACTGGCATCAATATTCTCGGCCTACACGTATGAGAAATCCCTGTTGGCACTGGCCAACGGCATGCTGGACCGGGACCTGTTTGTGCATGTGGACGAGGTGACGCGGCTACGGCAGCGGGGATGGCGACCACGCGGGCAGGTCTGTGAAATCTGCCGGCAGCGCATCTGGGGACCTGGAGTTGGAACCCAGTTTTGGCAGGCGTGGGAGCAGAAACAGGAAAAGACGCACGAGCAGCGTCTCCAGAAACGACTTCATGCACAACATGATCCGGCGACCGCGCGGGGGAAGGGCAAGGCCGCCGATGCAGGTCAGCCGCTCCCGCTGATGGATGGGCATGCGGCCCCAGCAGATGGTGAGGGTGTGAATGGCGAGAACGCGACGGTGGCTACTGGGCCGGTCGTGATCTTTTCCTGCCGGCATCTGTACCACCGGCGATGTCTGTTGGAGGTTGATTCATCGACTACTGCGCATCCTGCGCATCCCCAGCACCGACACCATCATCAGTATCAGCATCAACATCGTGGAGGACTGTTTCACCGAGGAGGATCGGAGTGGGAGGAGTTGTTGGCATGCCCGATGTGTCCTGTACATAATGAACCAGCGATGGCAGCGTGACGACGATGTCCTAATAGCATTTTCTTCTAATTTTTAACCTTCATATTTCTACTATCTTCTTATTGCCTTAGTCTATTTTTTTTTTTTTTTCTGCATCTCAATGAATCTAACAGGATCGGCTGACCGAGGGAGGCAAATTCCCGCGAGCTGTCAAAAGGCCATTCGAAGTGACAGAAAACAAAATAACGTTGGTGAGTGGCATTCCAGTTGCTGCATTCGGGCGGGGAGTTCATCTGCTGATGCTGCCGGCTATTTCCTATTTTCCTCCCTGTCAGGCCCTCTTGATTGGGCTTTTCGATGCATCGCGTGGCCCTGTCCTAATCTCGGGTTCTGGCTGCAAGCCTGCATCTGCTTGCGGAATCCTTCCCATCTCGGGGCTGATCTTCATCCTCCGCGCGGTTTGACTAGACGCCGAGCCTGCAGCAACTTTCATTCAAAATGGTGTTCTACACGCCTTTATTGGCCAAACCCTCGACTCCGGAATGTGCCCGATCGCCTGTCACTGGCGCATTTGATTTCCTAGCCTACCCGTTTTCATGCCCTATATTGGCCCGCGGATTAATTAACGGTCTCGAATCAATCAATCAATCAATCCACATGGGCCTCGCAGCTGGCCGACTGGTCCTGCGCTCTGGTCTGGTGGGCTGGCTGTGGATTGTTCATAGTCGGCGCCACTCAGATCGTTAGTGTCTGTGTTTGAAAGGCTTGACCAGACCCGGAGGGGAGGCCCGAGGGCCCCCTATCTCGGCGTTTGTCTCTACACACACCGTCTAACTTTCTACGCTCTCTCTCTCTCGCGCGTCGCGCCATATATAATCCTGTTCACGGCCATGGCTCGACGAATTCAGATACCTCGTCTCTAGACCAACATTCCTTTGCCTATTTCTGCAGCAGCTGCTACGATTGAGCTGCGGCTCCATTCCTTAGATCTCGCATACTAACACATTATACGCATTCATATATAAATATCTACTTCTTTTCATTCCTTTTTCCACGATCACCGTTTCTGCAGAGGAATATACATCAATCTAGCTGGTCTATAGTGCAAACTCCTCTACCTCTCCTTGAAAACAACAAAATATACTCTTCAGTTCATCGCGATGCGACGCACCGCGACTCTTCTTTCGGCCTTAGGCCTCACGGCGCAGCTCAGCTCTGCAGCCTACACTTTACAAGACGATTACTCGGGCGATAGCTTCTTCGATGGCTTCAGTTTCTTCACTGGCGCCGACCCTACCAACGGCTTCGTCGACTACGTCGATGAAGCCACCGCCCAGAGCAATGGCTATATCTCTACCTCCGGCGACGCCCCCGTCTACATGGGCGTCGACCACACCAACATCGCCGGCAGTAGCGGCCGTCAAAGTGTCCGCATCAGCAGCGATGCCACCTACAACCATGGTCTCTTTATCCTCGACCTCGGACACATGCCCGGAGGTGTCTGCGGTACCTGGCCTGCCTTGTAAGCCCCCCATACCCCATACATACACCACCCCCGCTAACAAAAGATAACTTGTAGCTGGCTCGTCGGCGCCGACTGGCCCAACAATGGCGAAATCGACATCATCGAAGGCGTGAACCAACAATCTGGCAACGACATGACCCTGCACACCAGCGACGGGTGCAGCGTCTCCTCTTCCGCAGACTTCACCGGCTCCATGACCACCAGCAACTGCTACGTCTCCGCCGCAGGCCAATCCAATAACGCCGGGTGCGGTATCACCGACCCCGACGGCACCTCGTACGGCACTGCCTTCAATGCCAATAACGGAGGTGTCTTCGCGACGGAATGGACTTCAGATGCTATCAGTATCTGGTTCTTTGAACGTGGAAGCATCCCTGATGATATTGATTCGGGCAACCCGGACCCGGATTCTTGGGGTTCTCCTGTTGCGAGGTTTCAGGGTGATTGTGATATTGATGCCCATTTTGATAGTTTGCAGATTGTATGTTTCCCCCCGCTCCCCAACTACTTCACTATTTCCCTATTATGTTGTTGTTGTTTGTTTGTTTGTGTTGTTGGGTTGTGATTATGATGAGGGCTAATGTGCTGGTGTGGTATAGATCTTCGATACTACCTTCTGCGGCGACTGGGCCGGTAATGTCTGGGGTTCGGGCAGTTGTGCGTCTGTCGCTAGCTCGTGTAGTGATTATGTGGCGAATAATCCGGAGGCTTTTGCCGAGGCTTATTGGATTATTAACTCGTTGAAGGTTTATCAGGATGATGGTGATGATGATGATGATACTGTTGCTGGGGTGGTTGATTATGGGGATGATGAGGATGATCAGGACGACGACGATGATGATTCGGATGATGACGATGATTCAGACGATGATGATGATGATGATGATTCTGATGATGATTCAGACGATGAGGACGACGATGACGACGACGATGATGATTCAGACGACGATGATGACAATGAGTCTCGTCCCTGGAGAGGTGGAGGAGGAGGAAGGAACCATCATGGTTCGATGCTGAACGCGTCGACATCGACCTCGTCGTTCCCTAGCCCGTCGTTTGTGAGAAAGGCCAGGTGGGAGAGGAGGAATCCGATGGCGGGAATGATCTTCTAGGCTCCTCACTCGTCTGTCTTGTTTTCGTCTTGTCTTGTCTGATTCCATTCATCACATCTTCATCTTCATCTTCAGCTCGTGTTCACTCATTTGATTTATTGGTGCGTTGGTTGCCTGAGATTGCGGTCATTGATTCTTCGATTGATTGATTGGTTGACTGTTGTTTTGTTCACTCTTTCGGTGCATTTCATGCATGCATGCATGCATGTATAGATCTGGATCTATACGTGCATAACCTACATCATAGTACTACTACCTTCTTTTCCGGGGTATGTACTAGTCGCTCGCTTCATCACTACTTACTACTATACCCGTCACTCGTTAGAACGATTTACTCCAATTGAAGATCGCATTTCCTTCTTTCCATTATCCATCTAGTACAACTACACCAAATGACAAACCCCCATAAGCATGGTATATAAACAAAACAAGCATCATCAGTCATTACATATCCAATCGATATCCCAACACATCTCGCTGATCATCAGTTATCCGGCCCCATTCAAGCAATAACCGGAAGAAATAAATTTCCATATCTTCCTTGCGAATCACCCGGTTCGCCCATTTCCGCCCCTCCTCCGCAATCCAAGTCCCCTCGATGTCGTGCGGGGCCATGTGGACGTGTCGTGTGGCGCCATTTACGGTGAGAGTTGTGTCCACGCCGGCGAAATATGCCAGGGTGCTCCATAGCCCGTGTAGACGGAGATCGATCGGCACGAAGTGCAGCCAAGGGGTGATGCGCGAGTCGAACCATTGGCGGAACAGACCGGTCTTGAATGGGAGGCTGTGGCTCTGCATGAAGGGGAGGAAGCGGCCGCTGAAGCCGGCGCCGTCTGAGTCAAATAAGTAGCGGTATTGCCAGTGGGATTGGAAGTCGACGCGGGAGGCGGCGCCGAGTTCTTTGCTTTGGTCGTCGCAGTCTTCTCTGCGGCAGCGGACGATGGGGTCGATGACGTTGACGGAGGTGTCGAGGTGGAGGATGTCGGAGGGGGCGCGGCCGTTGACGACTTCGTACATGTAGGTGTCTGTTTCGTTGGTGGGGAGGAAGACGGAGACGCTGTTGAGGGTGTTGTTGTTCACGAGGTGGGCGAGGCGTTGGCGTGGTATGCCTTTCCATTCACCGTGGTTACTCACGCCTTCGGAGGTGCTGCCGATCCAGAAGAGGGTGTTGGCTTTGTCGGTGTAGTTTGCGTCGGGGTGTTCTTCTGATGGCTTGTATTCGATCTTGTCGACGTAGTTCCAGGGACTGGGGAAGATGATGTCGTTGAAACCGGCGATTGTGCTCTGGCTGAACACGGGGGTCAAGTCTTGTGTGACTTTAAAAGACGCTGGGGATAGGAAGAACCCGTGCAGAGAGGCAAGGTCGGGCTGGTGGCAGATGTCTGTCGCTGCGGCCCAGTCGGACGGAAACTCTCCCAGCGAGTGGGGACGGACGCAGCTGAGGCAGATGTGTCGGCGGTCCCAGATGCGCTGACTGCGAGCTTTGGAGGAGGGTGGGCAGGTGGAGCTCACGTAGCGATCGAAGATGTGTTTGAAGGAGTTGTCAACAAACATGGTTTCTGTCGTCTGGTCGGCCGGCTCGATTGGCCCCCATTGAGCACCGCGATCAGTCGACCATTCGGTCCGGATGCTGTCCTCCGGAGGTAGACCGTAAGATCTCGCTTGGTGGCGCAGAACTGAGACCTTCTCCCAGGGAACTGAAACTCGGGGCTCATCGTTCAGGTTGAATGCGAGATCCATATCGGGGAGGAACTCGGCGAATTTCTCAATCATCTTGGAAGCGCTAATCACCATCCACGCATGCGTGGGCTTGATCCCTTCCTGCACTCGAGCTTTGCCGTCGCGGATGCTGATCGCACCGATCTCATTGTAAGGATTGGTGGCCAGCTTCTGCGTCATGTCTCGAATCTGCGCAGGTGGCAATGCACGGAAGGGTAAGAGGTCGTTGTATATTTGGTCGAACTCATCGATGACTAGGGAAGATCGGTTGACAGCATATTCGTACCACTTATCAAAGTTCCTGGTTTAATTAGCTTTAGCTAGGATATGCACGGTGGGACAACGCACGGTGGTGGATGTTGATTGTATTGGGCGCGGTACTTCCTCACAGCATCGGCGAGAGTTTGACTGCTGTTGGCCTGCGCAAGCCATTGATTATGGTGCTGTCTCCCGTCGTACACAAGCAAATCAATAGGATGCAGATGCGCCGCACTATGCTGCTGGTGCACTAGGATGAGGCCGATTGCAGCGAGAAAAGCGAAAGCAATTCGCATAGCCAGGTTGAAACGATATAGGAATTGCGCTTCATCTTCTGAAGCCGTTCGAGCATAAAGAAAGGCGACGGCTCCCGCAAAGATGAAGAAAAGAGCCCCGAAAGCGCGGGAGGCGAAAATCAACGGAAATGGATGTTGTCCGTTAAACAGAGTAGACGCCCAAGTGAAGTAGAGCGTGACGAAGCCAGCCAGCACAGCCAGCCCAGCGATACCATAGTACGCAATCTAAGCAGTCAGCATATGGCCACAGTACACGGCTTCTCGGACCTACCAATTGGGACGCCGCAGCGACCACGCAAGTCACCAGCACTGCTTGACCCACCGCACTGCGTAGGTATTGAGCGCTGATGAAGCGGTCGTCGCCGTCAGAAGTAGCGACAAGAATGATCACAACAATGGTGTAGAAAATAGCCACTCCCTACAGACCATGGTCAGTTTAGTTCGAAAGACATGTCATATTGACGCACCAGTAGGCTGTAGGCCCAGGAAGCCAAAGGCGGCTTCCTGATGCTCTCCCCCGACCGGGATCCTTCGCTCGCCAGTTCAGCCGCACCGATCAAGATCAACGAGTCGAGAATGAGGCTGAAGATCGTGAAGACGCGCATGCGCGTATGTAGACTAGAGGTATTGGGGCAGATGTAGGTTGACTGCAAGCCACGGCTAAACGTTACGGTGATATATCCGCCTGTCAGGAGAAAAAATGCCGCTATGACATATCTCAGGCGGCTCTGAAAAAGGAAATTGTGCAAGCGACTGGCAAAGGTAGCTATGGCACGCAGATGCGCATTCTGCGGGCGCTCTGGGGCGGACCATTTCGCAACCGGTCGATTGCGTTGATTGCGCCAGTAGTCATAGAGGGCCAATAAGAAAGGTATGGTGTACTGCGCAAGAAGTCGAGTTAGCGCTATCGCCTCAGATCTAGCTTTTGGCTATTTACCGCGTATCCATCCGGCGCGCATTCAGTATGAAAAGTGAGGTCGCGATACAAAGCGATTCGAATACATCCAAGGACCGAGAGTAAGCCTAGTTTGATCCATCGCGCCGAACTGCGCGAGCGAGTGAGGGCAAAACTACTGTTGCTGTCCAAGCTGATCGGCGAGAATGGCTCTTCGAGAGATTGGTCGCGTTCCGTGAGTGGGATGGAGGAGTATTTAGGTGCAGACGATGCGATCTTCGGTATGCGATGGATGAATCGGCTCAGGATTAAAAGACAGATTCCCGCAAAGTAGCAGGCCAGTACGGCTGTGATGAGAGGGTGATCTAGTAGGGCGTAATTAGTCTTCAGAATTAAGACCGTGCGAACCGGCAGCCTACCAAAAGCGAATGTAGTCTTGTAAGACGTCGAAATAAAGGTACAGCTTAATAAGAATACCCTGTGCGTTGCGTCAGGTCGCTCCGTTGAGTAACAGAGATGGGCATACTTGGTGGTATAACGGGTATGCTTATACTCACCCTATCGCGGCCTTGAGGCCGGTCTCAGCAGAGAGAAATACCATGACGCCAAAGGAAAGTTATGGGTAGAAAAAGCTAATAGCCATCATGGTTTGAATGACATTCACATCATGCAACGCACAGGCAAATTCCGGCGCAAGAAGAAAGATCCGCAAGGGAGTAAGCAACTGTGGTGCCTGGCTGGGGATGCCGCAAGGAGGTGGAGCCGTCAGTTTAACGTCCTGGCTAGGGCCCCAGGGGGAAGAAGATACACTTCCAGTAGAATGAATGGCGTGTGCCCTCCGTAGTTTGTGTTTGAAAGGTGTGGAGGAGAGAAGGGGGAGGGAGAAGAGGAATGACAAAGGGCAACAACAACCAAGAACATATCATTAGAATATCATTCCCAGCAAGAGATAAGGGGAATTACTTGTGTATGCCCGGGATTCGAGGGGATTGCGTCAACGAAGGGGTCTGGCCCACGGCTCGCGTCCATCACGGCCATCCTCATTCCACCACACGGGAGGAACTTGTCTTTTAGTGTCCAGATAGCTGCACTGCCCATGGCCTTCCTCGAGCACGTCAGCACTCCGTCTCTATCCCACGACGATCATCTTTCTGGTCGAATGACAGGCCAAGAGTTACCGCTCAGTCCATCAGGCATATCAGAGGTGGTGTCACTGAACACGTACTCCTTGTAGATGCGCAAGATACTGCACTCAACATACACACACAGTCAGAGTGATACGGTCAGTCAATAACCCTGAAAGGAACCGTAAAAAAAGACATGGCAGGTTGCAGCGCTTAGCGTCAGGGTCCAGCCATTCCATGATCCATCTTTGGTTCCAGCTTGGGATGATCCTCTCCCCGATCGGGCAATCTCCCCTCCCGTGTGCCCCTCTGAATGGCATCATCAATCCTGAAAACTCTGGATCTTCCATGAAGTCCAAGAGTCAAAGTTGAGCCAACTCATCCAGTCAACATTAGCACTTGGCAGGGACTGCGCGAATATCCTGGCGGGCGGGTAAAGCGTGGAGACTCCGTGGGGACTCGAGCTGAGACGGATTGAGACTGATCTTCCTGCTTGCTTGTCTGCCTTCTTCCGGTGGGAAATTTCACCCTTCCACCATGAGACCCTAGAAGAACAAAGTCCTACACAGCTTATAAATTTACTAACCATACAAACAACATTGGCTCCTTGAAAACTACATAATAATACGAGGATGGGTTTTACAAAGAAGCCGATCGCTAATTGATTGTAAAACAAAAAGAACCAATCGCCACGCATGCAAACAAAATCTAATCACTTCCCAACTATCTAGATAGCCAATTTAGATGTCTATAGTCTCAGGAATGCGAATAGCGACTCTGTTGATATATCGACGCTCCTAATAGGAATAAGATCGCGTGCTATACATGAACGTTATGATCAACTGGTCAATAATGGTAACCTCCCTGTCCCTGTCAGATGACCATCACGTGATGCGACTCGAGTCAGGAACCACAAGCTTTCTGTCTCAGGCAGCAAACTAGGCGGTATCCCAAACAGAAAGCGGTCCCAAGCGGCAATTCTGATTTTCGGCGATAACTTTTTTTTGTCGGCGAGAAGAATCGCAGAGTACATCGGCAGTGTGAGTTTCAGTTTCTCTACCTGGCCGTCCGTTTCTTCTGTTGTTTGAGGGCCTGGTCTCTGTCTTCTTGTTTCGCAATTCAAGTGGTGTTCCTGTGTAACCACAACAAACCCACGATCTGTGGTCCCCGCCGCCGTCTACGAATTTTCGTTCGCGGGCCATCGACACCTTTCTGCGAGCGCTCTCTTAAATACCCAAGTCAACCCCCTCCCCTCTCCAGGGTCACAGGAATCAGCATACAACATGCCCCGCAAAGCGATTGATTCCCGTATTCCGGCCCTCATCCGAAATGGCGTGCAGGAGAAGAAGCGGAGCTTCTTCGTCGTCGTTGGCGACCGCGCAAAGGATGTCATCGTCCACCTCCACTATATCATGTCGAGCGTCGACGTCAAGCAGAACAAGTCCGTGTTGTGGGCCTACAAGAAGGATTTGCTAGGATTCACGAGTCACCGGAAGAAGCGTGAGGCCAAGATCAAGAAGGAGGTCAAGCGCGGCATCAGAGAACCCAACCAGGAGGATCCGTTCGAGCTGTTCATCACCCTCAACCAAATTCGCTATGTCTACTACAAGGAGACCGAGAAGATTCTTGGTAACACCTACGGAATGTGCGTACTTCAGGACTTCGAGGCCATGACCCCGAACCTGCTTGCCCGGACTGTTGAGACAGTCGAAGGTGGTGGTATCGTCCTGCTGCTGCTGAAGGGCATGAACAGCTTGAAGCAGCTGTACACATTGTCCATGGATATTCATTCGAGATACCGCACCGAGGCCCACGACGATGTCACCGCCAGATTCAACGAGCGCTTCATCCTGTCTCTTGGTAGCTGCGATTCCTGCCTGGTCGTGGATGACGAGTTGAACGTCCTGCCCATCTCCGGCGGAAAGAGCGTGAAGCCGCTGCCTCCGCCGGAGTCGATCGACGATACCAACACTGGCACAAAGAAGGAGCTGAAGGAGATTAAGGAGAGTCTGGCAGAGTCCCAGCCTATTGGCTCGCTGGTCAACTTGGCTCGCACCGTCGACCAAGCGAAGGCGCTCTTGACGTTCGCCGATGCGATCGCTGAGAAGACGCTTCGCAGCACTGTCGCTTTGACCGCTGCCAGAGGTCGCGGTAAATCCGCAGCTCTTGGTGTGGCCATTGCGGCCGCTGTGGCGCACGGTTACAGCAACATCTTCATCACCTCTCCCAGCCCCGAGAACTTGAAGACCCTCTTCGAGTTCGTGTTCAAGGGCTTTGACGCTCTCGGCTACCTCGACCATGTTGACTACACCATCCTTCAATCGACCAACCCGGATTTCAACAAGGCCATCGTCCGTGTCAACATCCATCGCCAGCACCGTCAGACCATCCAGTACATCCAGCCCCAGGATGCCCACGTCTTGGGTCAGGCTGAGCTGCTGGTGATTGATGAAGCCGCCGCCATCCCTCTCCCTCTGGTCCGCAAGCTGATGGGGCCGTACTTGGTCTTCATGGCCTCTACCATCAACGGTTACGAAGGAACGGGTCGCTCTCTCTCCCTGAAGCTGATCCAGCAGCTCCGCGAGCAGTCCCGGGGAGGCGTCAAGGTCAGTGGTGAAGATGATATTGACGTCGCCGATCGTGCCACAGGCAAGGCCGCCAAGAACATTGACAAGAGCCTGGCTGGACGTTCTTTGAGAGAAATCACCCTCTCGGAACCCATCAGATACGCACCGGGTGATTCGGTGGAGAAGTGGTTGAACAAGGTCCTCTGCCTGGACGCGACCCTGCCCAAGTCTCGCATGAACACTCAGGGCACCCCCCACCCCTCGCAGTGTCAATTGCTGCAAGTCAACCGTGATACCCTGTTCTCCTTCCACCCTGTTTCCGAAAAGTTCCTTCAGCAGATGATGGCTCTCTACGTTGCCAGCCACTACAAGAACACCCCTAATGATCTTCAGCTCATGAGTGATGCGCCCGCGCACCAGCTGTTTGTTCTCGTGCCCCCGATTGACGAAGAAGCCACCAAGCTCCCCGAACCCCTCTGTGTCATTCAGGTTGCGCTGGAAGGTCGCATCAGCCGACAGAGTGTCCTCAACAGCCTGAGCCGCGGCCAGCGGGCGGGCGGTGATCTGATCCCTTGGCTGGTCAGCCAGCAATACCAAGATGAGGACTTCGCCGGTCTTTCGGGTGCCCGAATTGTCCGTATCGCCACGAACCCAGAGTATCTGAGCATGGGATACGGTTCTCGTGCTCTTGAGCTGCTCATTGACTTCTACGAGGGCAAGTTCACCAGCCTTTCGGAGGATATCCCCGAGGTGCAGGATGAGATGGTCCGGGTGACGGACGAGGAGCTGACCAACTCCAACCTCCTGGATGACAACGTCAAGGTCCGCGATATCCACACCATGCCCCCATTGTTCGGCAAACTGTCCGAGCGTCGCCCCGACGCTCTCGACTACGTTGGTGTCAGCTTCGGTCTCACCCCCTCTCTGCACAAGTTCTGGAAGCGCTCGTCCTTCTCTCCCGTCTACCTCCGCCAGACCCCCAACGACCTGACCGGCGAGCACTCCTGCGTGATGCTGCGCACCCTGACCACCGGCTCCAACGATGCCGCCTGGCTGGGCGCCTTCTCGCGTGACTTCCACAAGCGTTTCTCGTCTTTGCTGTCGTACCAGTTCCGCGAGTTCCCCTCCGTGCTGTCTCTCAGCATCTGCGAGTCCGCCAACTCCGGCGCCAAACTCGACCCTTCTATCTCCCAGAACCCTCTGACCAAGGCTGAGCTCGATGCCGCCTTTTCGCCCTTCGACCTCAAGCGTCTCGACAGCTACGCCAACAACCTCCTCGACTACCACGTCATCCTCGACATGGTCCCCACCATCGCCGAGTACTACTTCTCCGGCCGCCTCAGCGGCAAGGTCAGCCTGTCCGGCGTGCAGCAATCCATCCTGCTCGCCATTGGTCTGCAGCGCAAGAACCTCGACACGATCGAGAAGGAGCTCACCCTCCCCTCGTCTCAGCTCCTTGCCATGTTCCTCAAGATCATTCGCAAGGTCTCCACTTACTTCCGCAACCTGATCGAGGGCGCTGTCGCCGAGACCATGCCCGCAGAGAAGGCTCCCTCCGCTCGGATCACCACCGAGGCGCACGACGAGCTTCCCGACGAGCGCTTCAAGCCCCTAGAGACCAGCCTGGACGACGAACTCCGTGAAGGTGGCCAAGAAGTCAACGAGGAGCTTCGCGAGAAGCAGCGCGCCCTGATCGACGCTCTCCCTCTTGACAAGTTAGTCCCCCTTTCTCCTTGCCCCCACTTGCCTAATATCTAGTCAATCATAATCATTGAATGACAATAACTGATTTACAGTCTCCAGATACGAGATCAACCACGGTAGTGCGGCATGGGAAGAAGCCGAGAAGCAGATCCGCGCCGGCGGTGCTTCCACCGTCAGCGTCAAGACCAGCAAGCAGACCAAGCGCAAGAAGGGCGAGTCGGCTCGTGAAATCTACGACCAGGAGATCGATTCGAAGAGACAGAAGATCATTAAGAAGGGAACGGAGGGAAAGAAGAAGAAGCATTAGTTATTTGCTTTCTTCGTTTACACTTGCCTTCTTTCTTCGCTTTCTTTGTTTACTATACTTGGGCTGTCTCAAGTGGATGTGTCCTTTTCATGCATTGATTAGATCATGGTGTTATGTGTGTGATTTCTTTTTGAAACTTCGATTGATGTATAGTTGTATTGTATATATGTGGCTGGGTTTGAAAAAGTCTTAATTGAATTCTTTAGAGAGCAAGTTCTACTCAAATGTTCACTCTAGATATGAGATTACATTGTCTAGTATAAAACTTGGGGTAGCTGACAGTAGACAATATGTATGCTATTGATGCGTAATATGAGAAACCAGCTAATAGTAACTAGCAGGCTTCGTCCGAATTACATATGTGACCTAATAAACACCTGTGCTAATAAACAAATTCATGCACTCCATACGGCTCATGTGTTTTACAATTCGTCGTGGTCGACCGCCGGCTTCTCCTCGACGGGCTCTTCGACTACTTCCTCGACCTTCTCTTCAACCTTCTCCTCAACCACCTCCTCAACGACAACGCCCTCAGGCAACTTCTGCTTCTCGCCCTCACCCAACCTAATCGCATCAATCCAAGCCTCGACACGCTCCTGGCCGTACTCTGCGCCCTCAACCGAGTCATACCTGCGCCACCAGCCACGACGTCCATTCAAAGCAACGATCTCCACAGAGTTATCCTCCGGCAGACCGAGCCCAGCGCGGAGGGTCTTAGCTCCGCTATTGATAGCCGGGACACTGTAGAACGGGAAGAGCTTGCTCTTACGAACAGCATGCTTGTGTGAGATCTCAGCCAGACTGAGGAGAGCGTCCTTGGCCGGAGCGGGGAGGTCTGCGTCGGGCTCACTCGGTTCAGGGAGGAGAGCCAGCACGCAGGTACCGGATTTCGGCATCAGACAGGCAGCCTCGAGGGCTTCAGCGGTGGGGAGGGTATCAATGGGAGGGGCCGGGATGGGCACACTGGCGGGTTTGGTGTCGTCGTCCTGGGCGACCTTGGGCTCTGGAGCAGATTCGGTGGATTTCCTCTTGTTGTTATCGCGGGGTGCGGTCGAGCTCTTAGGAGCAGGATCCGGGTTAGGAGCGGCGGCTTGGCTGAGGAACTCGACCATGGGTTTCTTCTTCAGTTCGCCGTCGTAGACGATGGGGTCTTGGCCGTTTCCTGGGAGGAGGACGAAGGTCGGGAACTCGGTGATGCCGAATTTCTCGACGGCTTCGGTTTCCTTGTTGCGGACTTGGGCGACTTGGATGGAGCCGAGGAAGTCGATGGCCAGGGCGCGGAGGAGAGGGCTGGTGGTGCCTTTCTCCGTGAAGAGGATGGCCTTGGGCGACTCTTCATCCTGCGCGAGCCAGGTGTTCAGGTCTTTATCTGTTGCGCGCTTCACGTGGTTGGGGATTCGGTCGACGACTGCTTCAACGATCGCTTTGGCGCTCCGCGCACCCTTGTAGTCCTCCACGCGGGGCTTGCCGGGTTTCTTGCCGGGGGTGACGATCTTAAGGGTAGGGAAGCCCTGGACGCCCATGCGGCCGCAGAAGGGTTTGTTGTCGTCATCGTCGCAATTGACGGCCGCGACTTTGGCCAGGCCGTCGAGGTTGGTTGCGGCTTTTTCGTAGGCGGGTTTTAGGTTCTGGCAGTGGCCGCACCAGGGGGCGTAGAATCTGGAGGAAAGCGGGGAGGTTTAGGATTGTAGGAGGTAGATGGGTAGGGTGGTAGATGGCTTACTCTACGATCTAAGAGAGCTTTGTTAGACTTGTTTGTAGGCAATTTATGATACTCTGCGCCGCTGGACTCACCGAAGTATGATTGGAGTTTGCAATCAGCTGGTCGTAATTCTTCTGGTTGACCTGCAAGACGGGGGATTTCTTCGTATACAACCCATCAGCGTTGACAGGCAACGCCGCCAGAAGCGACGTGACGAAAAGCAATGCAGAGCTGGGCTGCAGCATGATTGCGGGGGAGGAAGAAGCGAGAGGGGATTCAGGAGTAGCAGCTAAAGCATCATCCAGCAGGGATGAGTTTGAGGAGAAGAAGAAGGAGAGAAGAAAGGACAGAAGAAGTAGATAGAAGCAAGGTGTCCTGAAGCTCTTGGCATGTGACGCGAAATGTCTTAAGAAAGTAATATTGAATTGTATGGATTTGGAATGGCGGCGGATCCGTCCGTTCAATGTTCCCCGCCGTCAAACCAGTCGGTCAATCCATTGTTCAACCCCCCATGAATTGCATCCATTACTCAGTCACATATTCTGACATTTCCATGACCATCAGCAATCATGTTCTGTCTTCCGGGCAAAAGACTCGATGAGCATAAAGCTCCGTAGCTCCGGGCCCATAAGATCCTTTGTTTATGCGGAGCCCATACTATTATCTACTTAAGAGTTAGACAGTCTTGGACTAGACTAATAATTAGTTACCATCTGCTATTAATCGAGGGTCTCTTTTCATTAGTGCTCGGAATCCCCCAGGCACTTTCCCCGCCTTACCAATTCTCAAGAATCAAACGACCATGTCCAATGCCTCCCCATCTGAAGGCAAGGGCATGGCCCTCCTGCCCCGGGAGATCTTCTGGCTTATACTGAAGCGTCTCGACCCGGGCGATGTCCTCCGTTGCCGACGAGTCTGCAAGTCCTGGAACGAAGCCTTTCGCATTGGCGCCAACCTGCTTCCAATGCTAAAGAAACGATACCCCTTAGCCAGAGAAGTGCGACAGCTAGCCTCTGAAAGCGCAGAAACACTCGAATCACCAGAATACGACACTCACATATCCAAGATCTTCGACAAGGTCACAGCGAAATACGACTATCTAAGTCGACTAACGTACCGAACAATGCACAAGTTCAAGCTCAGCAATGACTTCGGCATCACAGGCCAGAAGAACTGGTTCTCCGTCCCGCCATGGGAACACCACGCCAGCCATCTCATGCAGCGCGTCGACCGATCATTCGGCGAGACCTTCTGGACCTACGACGACGGGCTCCTAGTATTCCCAAGTGCAGAGCATTCATGTCTCGTCCTAATGGACATGGAAACCGACAGAAAATTCATGGTCCCATTCATCATCGTCGGACGAATAATCCGCCGAGTCCGTCTGCAGAAACGAGTCCTCATCATCGAATGGGCAGAATACATACCCTATCACTGGCTCAACGACAGCGACGGTGTCCACCGGCACTTCGCGACCTCCTTCGACGTGAACCGCAAGGAAGATGGCTGGAGCGTCAACTTCCGAAACGAATGGAAGATCATGTTCCTGGGCCACCCTCTCAGCGAGCGAGATCGGTTCTACTCCACCCATACCAGCACCCATTATGCCATCTACATCTGGCAACCCAACCGCAGCCTCTACACCGCTGACGAAGACGCACCCATCGAGTCCCTCTCCGTCTGGGACATTTCCAAACCCTCGGATTACCGACCTTCCCTAGACCCCACAGGTCGCTTGCGATTCGAGTCCGGAGGAGGAGAAGGAGGAGGAGGAGGAGAAGAAGACCTCGGACCAACCATCATCACTCGCCTCGGGTTCCGAGAACTAGACTTCTACGGTATCCGGCAGCGAGGTCTCCCAATGATACAATCCCTCAGCATCACCGACGACGATCAGTCTATAGAGATCCTCGAGGGTACGTGCGCGGGCCGTTCACCGCAGGTCATTATCCCCGATGCATGGGAGTCCGAGGTGTGGGTGACGACTATCCCCATCGTTGGCGAGGGCCCGCGCCGGCGACAACGCGCTGACTTTGCGTTGCCCCCGTATCGAGGGAATTGTAGCTTGCAGACTAAACCTATTACTTTTGCGATCTGCGATGAGCCGTGGCATTCTATTGTTTGTGAGTCGTATGATGAGCAGTCCCAGGTGGGTTATTGTCTTTACTTTGAGGAACAGGAATGGCCGGTTGAAAAGGCTCTGTTTCTCGCTGTTGCCTCACCTGAGTACGCACCCGAACCGGCGATTGTCCTGCCTGGGAGTATGGCAACGGAGTTCATTGGGATGGGGAAGGTTTGTGGGACAGAGGACTATATAATAGGGCAGAACCGCGATCGTGAGCTTATTATCTTTAGGTTTGATAGATGAGGGGATTGTTCAATTGTTACTGAGGAATACTGCATTGCATACTTAAGCTCACTAGATTAGGTTTTCATGAATAGTGAACGAACTGAAACAAAGCGTCAAAAATACCAAAGTCTCAGCTAATATCAAATGAAACGTAGACCGGACCATGATCTCCACCTCCTTTGAGAGAAAATGAGAAGAAAAGAAAAGAAAAACAACCGGCTCTTACCAGCCCAGCGCACTAACATCCCATCCCCTCAGCAAATCCCCCACCCCCTCCCCTTTACACGCAGCAGCAACAGCAGAGGTCAACCTGCACCCCCCGCACTTCTCAATTCCGCATCCCGGGCAAGTGAGCATAAAAAGCGGCTGCCGAAGCTGGCACCCGTCACACTTGTCCCGGCCAAAACTCTTCTCCCAGCTGCCCAGATGGAGACAAGCCAGGACATCTTGCTTCTCCTTGCTGAGCGGCTTCGCCCCCGGGAACGTGAGGCGGACACCTTCCAACCAACCGCAGTACACGTCGAAGACCATGCCAGTTAGCTCAAAAAGAAAGTCCTGGCTGGTGTAGCTGTTGGCTGGGCCGTCGAGTTTAGAGCAGAAGTGGAAGAGGAGCGGGTCGCCATTGTCGATATTAGCGGTGGCGTTGGGTTTGATGGCGGGGGAGGAGAGGAAGGGCGTGACAGAGGGGAGGGAGGGAGGGCGTGACAGAAGGGAGAGAAGGAGGGTTGACGGCGGGAGAGAAGATGTTCGAGTCAGTGGGCTGGGGCAAATTGCTCATAGTGAGACAGACACCGCCAGCTTCATCCATGACAGATTCAGCGTCCGATTCTCTAGCACATTCGGCAGTCACGTACTCGGTACTCTCGGAGAAATTCGAGGCAGGCTGCTCGCTCGCAGTGTAAGAGAATCTAAAAAAGTAGATGTCTGCTCCATTGTTATTGCCGCCATCTTCATCCAGATCTTCATCATCGGAATGATAATATCCGTCATCTTCGTAGCGATCCGCATCATAAAAATTGTCGTGGTGCTGAGTTGGTGCTCCTGCTCCTGGGCCTTGGGGCTGCTCGTCGTCTTCGTCCTCATCCTCAGGATCATCCTTCTGGTTCCATCCACGGCGATTGTCGTCGTCTTCTTCATCGTCGTCGTCATCCCCCTCCTCATCCTCCTCCTCATCGTCTTCATCATCGCCTTCATCATCGCCTTCATCCTCGTCTCCACCGTAGTAGACGGCCTCTTCTTCGTTGTGGTAAAAGTTCTCGTGCCACTCTCTGGGGACATCGGAACCAGCCTCCTTAGATCTCCAGCAATGTTCATTACCGTAGCCACGAGCAAACTCTTTTTCATCAGGGTCAAGTTCATCTTCTCCCTCCCCATTCCGCAGCCTCTCTTCATCCTTTTCAACATTAGCCCTCATGGCCTTTCTTCTCTTCTCAATATCCGCAGCTTCCTGATTGCGAAGATACTCCAGGATGTCCTGAAAGTGCTGAGGTTTGTTAAACAAAACGCCACCGTCATCAACCCCTTCATCCTCCTCACCGTCATCGTCCCCGTTCTCACTTCCCATACCATCCGCAGCCGCAGCCCGTGCCGCCGCCGCCGCAGCAGCAGCGGCCTCTCTCTCCAACTGCTCGCCTACTCTGATCTCGATCTCCACACGAGCTTTCTCAACGAGAGACTCAGGAGCGAACGGGTCCATATGAACACTGTTGCCGTACTTGTATCTGTACAGTTCCATGGGGTCATTGAAATCTTCGTAGCGCTTCCAGCTCGTAGGTCTCCAAGATCCTTCTGGCCAGTCCTCGTACTCGTCGTCAGAGCCAAACGGGGTGGAGTGGAAGTAGTAGCCAGCTCGACGGAGGATATCGTCGTGCTCTTGCTTCCGGATGGGATCGCGGAGGGTCTCGATGGCTTCTTGGATCTGAGATAATGTGAGATTCAGCTTGCTTTATTGTTTAGAAGATTGTGTGGTGATGATGGTCATCGGAGAAGATGAGTGAGGGAGTCAATTGTGAGGTTCATATAATCTTTCCTTTCATACACTCACCTTCTGGAACTCGTCGTTGGAGACATCTGCATTGCCGGTGCCTTGCTTGTCCGGATGATGCTTCAGTGCGAGCTTCTTGTACGCGCTGTTGATGTCCCTTAGAGACGAGTTGTGAGAGATCCCCAGAATCGAGTAGTAATTAGTCACGCGTGTAGCGGAATACATCTTGATGGAATGGCTTGATTCCTAAATTTTGAAGTAGATGTGAAGATGTGCAGTATGGGAGATACAAGATGGCGTAGGCGTGAGGGGAAAGTGATGGGCGTTGCAAGTAGGTGCAGGAAGAGAAGGAAACAAACGCCGAGAGGGGATTGTTGACAAGTCTGGACACATCTGTCAAGGCAAGCAGTGAATGGAAGGGACTTTCCCCGAATACGTGAAGTTCAGCCCGTGAATGCAAACGTGAAGTGACGGGAAGTTCCCGTTTGATATTCCCGCCTATGTTGTGTAATGACAGCAGCATTCCCTCCACGCTACCAATTGGTCATGAGAACACAAGAAAACAATGACAAAGAAAAGATAGTGATAGATTTTACAGGCTGACAAGCATCTAGGTATTTATGAGTAAGTCTACACACATGGCGACTCCTCCCCACACAAGCTTCATGGAAGCTTTTACATGTCCGCACTGGCGGTGGCACCAGTGATAATCTCAACCAGTTCACCGGTAATGGCGGCTTGACGCTGACGGTTGTACAAGATCTGGAACCTGCATGGTATTAGACTTTATCGGCGAATTCAGGTGAGCTTTGAGACTTACTTGTTGATCATCTCACCAGCGTTCTTGGAGGCGTTCTGTAGAACATGGTTAGTCTGGGTTAATTTCGAACATCTGAATGATACTTGCCTCCATGGCGTTACGACGAGCCTGTAATCACATTAGCTTGTTATTCCGAATCAAAGGTTATTTTAAGCGGGAGAACTTACGGAGATTTCGCAAGCGTGACCCTCGGCCATAGCCCAGAAGAGGTTGTTGGCAAGGGCGTATTCACGGAGGTGGGCCAGAGTCTGGTCATCAGTCTCGAAAGTAGAGAGGTTGGCTAGAGCAAAAAGTTCAGTCCCGATACGCGCAAAACACATCACATCTGATATAACTCACGAGACTGGGTGATAGCCTCCTCAGAGTAAGCCTCAACGGTACCGGCCTCGTAGGACTGGGCGTTGATGAACTGGTTGTAGATGATCTTGACGCTGGCGTAGTCGGTGGGCAGCTGAGAGATCTGGTCGGCGATGGACTGAGCGTCGTTGAAGGTGGGGATGTCCTTGCAGACGTTGGCGAAGCTCAGGACGATGGCGTTGGGGTTGGTACGAGACAGCTGAGCCTTGGCCTTCTCACCGAGGACGACGATGTCGGCATCGGGGTGCTGCTGGAGCATGCGACGAGTAGCCTTGCTGAGACCGGAGTGGATACCACCGCAAAGACCCTTGTCGGAGCTGGCGACGACGAGCAGAGTCTTCTTGTCCTCGAGAGGCTTGGTCTCGGCGTTCTCGAAAACGGTGTTGGAGGTCTGACCGTAAGTGCGAGAGTCCTCCATGGCCTTCTGGGCGCGAGTAAGACGGGTGGAGGCGATGACCTTCATGGTGTTGGTGATCTTCTCGATGTTCTTGATGGACTTGAGACGGCCCTCGATTTCACGCAGAGTCGCGAAGTTGGCGGCATTGGGGGGAGCAGTGCTTCGAAAAAATCAGCCATTGAACCACTCGGTTGGTCTGCTTGTAGCTCCATCTCCTCGTTTTCCTGAAGGTTAAAGGATTGGTGGTTTGGGGGGTGGGAGCCAGCTGGGACAGCCTAGCTGGGGTGTGGGAGGGAAACGAAAAGGCGACGGACGGGCGGGTGTTGTGGACATTCCGGAAGAGAAGAAGAACTTACCGGGAGACCGCAATGCTACCAGCCCTCACAGCCGGACGAACAGCACGGGAGAACATATTGCAAAGAAGCCGTACGGTCGAAAAGACCAACGATAAACAATCGCAGAGGGGATAGTGTGGGGAGAGGGGGAGGAGGGAGAGGGTAGAGGAATCCTCGTAGGCTGGCGGTTGAGAAGTCGGTGGTTGAAGTTGGACTCCTGTTTCTGTTCTTCCGACAGCCGGCAGCACGGGACCCAATCGCGCTAGTCCCAAACAGGTAGTCTGGTGGTGAAATGGCTGGTGGTCCGGGTGTCCGGGTGTCCACAGCGACCATCCGTGCAACCCGGCCGAGCGTGCACGGCACTAATCCTAAACGGGCAGCTCTCGAGTTGCCGGACATATCAGGTGACCTGGCTGCGCGCAGGCTTACGTCGGCTGAGTCAGCAGCGCCACTCAGGCATGCAGGCACCGAGGCGCCCGGAATCGAAATGGAGTCGTCATAATTTCCATACAAACTTCCAGACCCGGCAGCCTTGGCACCTCAGGCTGCCAGCCTCCTCGCACAGCGAGTGGCTGACGGTCCGGAGAAACGTGAAGATCGCCTCAGGCCCCAAAAGACGGCCTCGTTTTCCATTCCATTCCTTCTCTTCTTCCTCTCTTTCTTCTCTCTCTCTCTTCTCTCTTCCCTTCCCTTTCCTGTTCCCTCTCGTAATCTTTGGCTCTGCTGTCTCTTTTCTCTCTCCTTCCCCTCTCCCCCCTTCAGCTTCTTCTCCTCTCCGCTCCTCCCGCTCGAGTCTTCTTCCACCCTCCCCTCTCCGGTTCCTCGTTTTCCTTCCGTCTTTCCCTATTCGGTCTATGTCTGTCTCTCCCTTTTAGTAGACGCTTTCTCGTTGCCATCAGCCTTCCCATTGGCCAGGCTGCCGTTGCTTTCATCACTCCTTCAAGCGCCAGCTCCGATCCGCAGACTCGCCCTCTCTCGCGCGCGCCCCTGCGCTCTCCCACCCCGGTTTTGCCTGTCTACTCGCTCCTTGGGCCCACGCGCTTTTTCCATCAATCGCCTGGCAACCATGAGCTCTTCGGAAGACGATACCCCGCTTGTCAAGGCAAACGGTCGCCGTACCAGTGAGTGTTACTTTCCTCTCTTTGCTCTCACATGACCCTTTCCCGCCTCTCTTTCACGCCTCAGTTACCCATCACTTCCCTTTGTTTGGGTTCAAATTCGCGACTCAATCACCTCTTTTTGCGCATTGATCTCTTTGACCCCTCATGAATGCGATAAGTCTTACACTTCCTCTTGTTTTTAAGATTCCCACACGGACTCGAAAATGCGCGACGCGACGGAGACAAATGGCCATGTTGATCCAGGCGTATCCATCCGCTTTGGCCCCGTTCAGGCCGAAAATGATGTGGACATGGCCGATGCCGACGCTGCCGCCGTTCCCAAGCGGAAGTCGCGCTCAAGCGTCGGTCAGAGAAAGTCTTACGCCGAACCTGAGAGCAGTGAGGATGATCAACCTTTGGTACGCCGATTACCTCCACGCCAGTTCCTTCGTTCCCCCTACTCTCGCGACGCTATTGCTGTCGCTGTTCGTTCCAGCGGCTGACCAGTCGACAGAGCAAGCGACGCCGCACTTCCGTGAAGCACGAGGACCCCGAAACGGACGATGACGTACCTCTGGCGCTCAATGGAAGAAAACTTCCCAAGGCGTCGGAAACGGCTATAGGTGAAGAATCCGATTCCGATGTGCCTATCGAAAGAAAACTCGCCTCGCAGAAGAAGAAGATACAGCAGAAGGCAGAGAAGGATGCGAAAGCGACCCGCAAGCAAGCCCCCCCGAAGACTACGAAGGCCACAGCAACCAAGAGACAGGCCAATGGCGTGAAAAAGGAGCCCGAGGACGTGAAGCCTTCGACCGTCAAGAAGACGGCAAAGCCAACCAAGGCCAATGAGAAGGCTGCGTTGCCTTCGCATGTGAAGCGGGCTGCCTCTAGCGCCAAGTCGACCCCTGTCAAAAAGGAAGAAAGCGAGGAGGCTGAAGACGCCGAGGAAGAAGAGTACAGATGGTGGGAAGATCCGACCAAGGGTGATGGCACGATCAAGTGGACGACCCTTGAACACAACGGCGTGGTTTTCCCTCCTCCGTACGAGCCGCTTCCTAAGAACGTCAAGATGAAGTATGATGGCGTTCCCGTCACTCTTCATCCTGATGCTGAAGAGGTGGCTGGCTTCTTCGGCGGCATGCTCAATGCGACTCAGCATGTTGAGAATCCCACCTTCCAGAAGAACTTCTTTATGGATTTCCGAGATATCCTCAAGAAGACTGGTGGGGCAAAGGATCCCAAGGGCAACAAAGTGGACATCAAAGATTTTCACAAATGTGACTTCCAGCCAATCTTTGCCTACTACGACAATCAACGTCAAGAGAAAAAGGCTTTGCCACCGGCTGAGAAGAAGCGTTTGAAGGCTGAAAAGGACGCTCAAGAGGCCCCTTACATGTATTGTATGTGGGACGGACGGAAGCAGAAAGTAGGCAACTTTCGAGTGGAACCGCCGGCTCTCTTCCGTGGACGTGGTGAGCATCCCAAAACTGGCCGTGTGAAGTCTCGTGTGCAACCGGAACAGATCACCATCAATATCGGCAAGGATGCGCCTGTTCCGCCTCCTCCGGAGGGCCACAAGTGGAAAGAGGTCAAACACGATCAAGAAGGCACATGGCTTGCCATGTGGCAGGAAAACATCAATGGCAACTACAAGTATGTCATGCTTGCGGCCAATTCTGATGTGAAGGGTCAGAGTGATTACAAAAAGTTCGAGAAGGCTCGTGAATTGAAGCATCACATTGATCGAATCCGCAAGGATTACCAGAAGAACCTCAAGCACGAGCTGATGGTCGAACGGCAAAAGGCGACGGCAGTCTACCTTATTGACCAGTTTGCTCTTCGTGCTGGTAACGAGAAGGGTGAAGACGAAGCTGAGACTGTGGGTTGCTGCTCTCTCAAGTATGAGAACGTCACTCTCAAGCCTCCAAACAAGGTTGTCTTTGATTTCTTGGGTAAGGACAGTATCCGCTTCTATGATGAAGTCGAGGTCGACACGCAGGTTTTCAAGAACTTGAAGATCTTCAAGAAAGCACCCAAGAAGGAGGGTGACGAAATCTTCGATAGACTGACGGTATGTACGCCGACTGGCTCTTGGATTCCACCGCTAATGAACGCACGCAGACCTCCGCCCTCAACAAACACTTGTCGGCCTACATGCAAGGATTGACTGCAAAGGTGTTCCGTACCTACAACGCTTCCCACACTATGTCCACGCTGCTGAAGGACATGAAGGCGACTGGTAACATTGCAGAGAAGGTGAAGGCGTACAATGACGCCAACCGCAGGGTCGCCATTCTCTGTAACCATAAGCGGACTGTCGCTGCATCCCATGCCAATCAGATGGAGAAGATGAGTGAAAGGGTATGTTTACCTGTGGTGAACACTATAGGTGGGGCGCTTTGCTAATATTCATTCTCAATATATTTAGATCAAGGGACTACGGTACCAAAGATGGCGTCTGAAGCAACAGATGCTCGATCTCGAGCCTAGTCTGAAGAAGAAGAAAGGCGCCAAGTACTTCGAGATGGACGAGGACATGGACATGGAATGGGTGAAGGAGCACCAGGCCTACCTTGTGGAAGAGCAGCGCCAGAAAATTCAGAAGAAATTCGAAAAGGACAATGAGAAGCTCGCTGCAGAAGGCGAGAAGGAAATGAAGGCCACTGAGCTGGAGAGCCGTCTCCAGGCAGCAAAAGATATGGAGAAGAAGTTCAACAAGGAGAACAAAACCGGAAAGGTGGAAGCCGAAGGCAAGGCCCCGACGGTCGATAAGCTCGAGGCAGCGATCACCAAGCTCGAGCAACGCATTGAAACGATGGAGCTTCAAGCTCAGGATAAGGAAGAGAACAAGGAGGTCGCTCTAGGAACCTCGAAGATCGTAAGTTTCTGTTCCTTGCTATGGTTGATGGTTCTTGATCGCTAACACCACATAGAACTACATCGACCCTCGTCTTACTGTGGTTTTCAGCAAGAAGTTTGATGTTCCTATTGAGAAGTTCTTCTCCAAGTCCCTCCGGGAGAAGTTCGAGTGGGCCATCAAGTCGGTCGAAGAGGATTGGGAATTCTAAGATTCCCTCGACCGCGTCGCACCTTAACTTCGCGAATCCTCCTCGCTCGATCCATTGAGCCTGACTCCGGATACAGGGTGTTTCTTTGTTTTATTTTCCTCTACTATATTCTTTGCCTACACCGGTGGTAAAACGGATTGTCTTACGCATAATGCATTTTGGAGCCTTATCTTATTGTTCTTTCTCCTACTTTTCTCTCTTTTTCTTTGCTTGCCACATCTCTCTCCCAAAAGCCACCCTGCCTTCTTGTCGCTGTACACCCCGCTTCAATTTACTGTCTCGATTCATTACGATGAACATGCAAGAGGGCTTATCTTCAGCATCACCAGTTTGCTTGCCCACCTCTGGTCTTGGTTCTCGCTACGTCTTGGACATTCCTCCCCCTTCGTTTCAAGTTTTAGCCCTCCATTGACCCTACAGATGAAGACGAGAAGATTAAAGAAAAAGAAAAAGAGTTATACACCCGGGAAACTCGATACATCTATCAACATATTATCAATATATACAGATTTACACATGGCATTTGAACGTTACTCGTTGGTAACCTAAAACCACGAGTCTATAGTATAGATCGCTCGATAGCTTAGTACTTATCGATTATCTGTAACAACTAACCAGACCGCGTCATGTTAAGTGTAAGTCTTAGCTTGATTCTAAGCCTTGAGATTCACACTAGTACTCCTATCATCAATTCTGTTCGTGTACTGCAGTGGCAGTGTTTTGGGTACTAACATCCGGTGCTAGCCAGTATAATAGTTGGCGAAACAAACTGAGCTATATAGTAGCCCTGATTTAGGCTACCATGCTAACTAAAGTGACCTGTTGCAGATCATGTGATGCAAGAAGGATAAGGTACGGAGTAGATATATGATGACGCTATATTCCAGTTTCTGGACGCTAAAGTTTCAAGATAGAGGAGTAGTTCTGGGCGCTAGCGATCGGCATACCACACTTATAACTGACGTCAAGAGTTCTGTCATGCATCGTGGAAGT